AGGGTGTAGGTTTAAGGGTGTAGGGTGTAGGGTGTAGGGTGTAGGGTTTAGGGTTTAGTAACCTTAGTACATGATGTCTTCAGATGATCGACAGTGACGCTTCTACTGGGCTGCTAGGTTTTCCTTCTGGTGCGCCCAGGGCCTTGAGCTCGGCTTCCTGAACGGATCTCTGTCAGCCCCCCCTAAATCAACCTAGTCCCTAAACCCTAGGCCCTAAACCCAAAACCCTAAGCCCTAAAGCCTAAATCCCTAAACCCTGAGCCCCAAAACCCTAAAATCCTAAATCCTAAACCCAAAAAACCCTAAACCCCCTAAATCCTAAGTCCCTAAGCCCTAAATCTTTAAACCCCCAAGCCCCAAGACCTCAGCTAGGGGCTTGATGGTAGGAACTGAAGAGCCGGATTGAGGGACCGAACGAAGGGCCACCTGGGAATTGTTAAAATTCAGCAGGTTTGGGTTTAGGGTTTGGGGTTTGGGGTTAGGGTTTAGGGTTTGGGGTTTAGGGTTTAGGGTCTAGGGTTTGGGGTTTAGGGTTTAGGGTTTAGGGAGTGTTGCATCTGCATCTTCGGTGTGTATTTGTTGCTGCATGCTTCAAACATGAACCCGACGTTTCAGAATAATTGCAATACGGTTCGCACTATTTCCGAAGCCGGAAACACCAGCACACCGAGTGGGTGTCTTCCAGGACACTTCCCATCACCGGTGTCGTGTGCCTTGTGCTGGCGCTGCTCTTTGTGCCTGTGCCCAAGTTTAGACGGAAGAGTGCTTCGGATCCATAGAAAGACAAGAAAAAGCTGAGAGGGCCGGAATGTCTGGAATTGGACCAGTTGAACCACTGCCTGTCTGTCCTTCTGTTTGCCTGCCTGTCTCTCTGTTGACATCCTCATAGCAACTCCAGTTGACATAAGGGGGGCCTAGCGGAGCCGTTCTAAATGACAAGAAAGTTGGGTTCTACCTATGGTTCGTTTTATGGCCCCTCTCAGGCGCCTTGTTGGGAAGCCATATCCGTCTAGGGTTTGGTAGGGCAAGCAGCTGGCAGCATAGGCCATTGATCAGAGCATGAAGCGGAATGGTGGCAACATCCGAATATCCGAAAACAGCAGTCTTTCCAAACATGCACAGACAAAGACACTCAAATCCCGCTCCTGCTTTTTCGCCATGGTTGAGCACGTTAACCAGCAAACAAGTTTAAAGACTCCGAGTGCTGTAAATCCCAGATATTTTCAGCATGTTTCCAAAAGCAATGCAGCAAATGCGGGAAGAACCGCATTTGTCACGAATACGTGTCTCAAGAAGCATGGCTCGCCCGTCTGCTGGGCACTCCTTCTCCAACTCCTAACTCCTACTACTACTACTACTACTACTACTACTACTGCCTGCAACGACTAACCTACCACTGCCATGGCCACTTCCACTACCACCACGGCGAGCATCAGTTTTCAAAGCCCTAAACCCTTAGCCTTCAATAAACCCCAAACCTCAAATAAACCCTAAACCTTAAAAGCCCACAAGCTAAGCCCTAAACCCTAAACCTTAAAGCCCCAAAAGCTAAACCCTAAACCTTAAAAAGCAAAAGCAATGGGCCAAGGAGAGACAAAGCTTCAGCTCCGATGTCACCGTGCCCGCCATCCTCGGCTTCCGCGTCGTCAGCATTGCCTGCGGCCTGACGGGCATGCTCTACGCCGAGCTGAAGCTGGTGCTCTCTGGGGCTTAAAAGGGGGGGTTTAGTGTTTAGGGTTTAGGGTTGTTTAGGGTTTAGTGTTTAGTGTTTAGGGTTTAGTGTTTAGGGTTTAGTGTTTAGGGTTTAGGGTGGTTTAGGGGTTTAGGGTTTAGGGTTCCAACCTAGGAAGAGATGGCCCGAGATTGGTCTTAGAGTCGGCCTCTTCTCTGCGGGCGTGCCGGAGGCGGAGGCTGTGGCTCG